AAATTATGCGACTGTTCTACGATGAATATTCAGAGATTCGATGTACGATTCGGTCAATCGCGGTCCGTCGCCCATTAAATAATTATTTTTGTTAGGCGAATGAACTGCGACTATTAGTTGAAAAATTATTCTTCGACACAACTGCGACATGCCAACGTCGCATATTATTCGCGGAATTAGTGCATAATAAGTTTTTTCGTATTTCTTTCATCTTTCAGTTATGCGAGGCAGTATGCGAATTACCGCATATTGCTCGCATATCGCCTTCGCACTTCTACTCGAAAGTGTATTTTTTATTTATTTTTTTATTTCTTTCATCTTTCAGTTATTTCAGTTATGCGATGGGGTATGCGAATAGCCGCATATTACTCGCATACCACCTTCGCACTTCTACTCGGAAGTTTATTTTTTATTTCTTTCATCTTTCTGTTATTTCAGTTATGCGATGAGGTATGGAATTACCGCATATTGCTCGCATACCCCCTTCGCACTTCTACTCGAAAGTGTATTTTTTATTTATTTTTTTATTTCTTTCATCTTTCAGTTAGTTCAGTTATGCGATGGGGTATGCGAATTACCGCATATTACTCGCATACCACCTTCGCACTTCTACTCGAAAGTTTATTTTTTATTTCTTTCATCTTTCTGTTATTTCTGTTATGCGATGGGGTATGTGAATTCCGCATATTGCTCGCATACCCCCTTCGCGCTTCTACTCGAAAGTTTATTTTTAAAATTTAAATTTTTGAATGGTTTAGAAACCGCTGGCAGTTGGAACGTTACAGCCGATTTTGAGGCGTCTTATCCGCTTTTCAAAACGCCTGGGCAGTAAAAGCGTGCACGCGAATCGTTTCATCCGTCTATATAAAGCGTGTAATCTTCGATCCATATAATGCCCTCCGTTTTTCCCGTTTCTTGTATATGAGAAGCAGTTCGCCGGAGATAAACCATAGTTACAAAAAATCTTTCTTTCGACCCGTGAGGCAATTCTTTAACATTACTGTGTCCGAATTGAGAACTCCTAACCTTTCGAATTCGTCGGAGGAAAAAATTGAACGAGCATAAATTCTGGTATCCAACTTTATTAACTTGGCCCCGGGCGAGTGCTTGGACTTCCGAGGTATACTAGAATTGGTCGACGGGGATCTCTTCCCGGAACCCGGCAGAGCCCATCGGTTCAGAGCGTGGTGGTCGGGGTCGATCTCATGCTGGAGTTCTACATGGAACTCCACAAACAAGCTCCACCTACAGCTCATCTTCCTGGCGTCTGAGTGTTGTGGTAGGCTGGTAGCTCGTCGGCTCCCTCGTCCTAGCTTTTTTTTAGGCTTGGCTGGTTCTTCGATTTTTTTTTTAACTTTGTAATCGGCTGGGGTCGAAGCTACTGTAAAAGTAGTAGTGTAGGGATTTCAATTCGATCTTTTATACAATCTTCGCATATTATTCGCCTAGTTGGTGCATAATAAGAAAAAGAAACTATTTTTGGAAATTTTCTATTCTGCGAAATACAAACGTCGCGTATTATTCGCCTAGTGGTTGCATAATAAATTTTTTTTATAATTTAATTTTTTGAAAATTCTTTTTTAGGCGAAATGAACCTGAGACTATTAGTCGAAAATATTACGCACAATAAACGCATAACACGTAGTTTAGGCTAATGAACCTGCGACAATTAGTCGAAATACAAACGTCGCCTAAACAATTATTCGAAACAAATTCGCATAAAAACCGCACAACATTCGTAGTATAATCAAAGAGTTTATTTAAAAAAATAATTGTTTTTGGAGATTTTTTATTCTGCGACACATATAATTGCGACAAATAAACGTCGCATAATGAATCCGCATGTCAACTGGAGGATATTCGCATACCCACTTTTTGTGTAAAACAATTATATTAAACAATTATTTTGGTCTGATTCTTTATGCGACCGTCTCACGACGGATATGCGTTAATTCGCAGGTCTACCGCATTATATTAAACTGCGAAAGAGATACGGAAACTAAACCATTATATTTATTTTGTTTATTAAAAATGCATCGGAATTGCGAAAGTATGGCGCTTGTTACGTGGACATTACTCGACAGCTGTTATTTCGCATATTTTGTCGTATAGTTTATTATTTAAAACAAAAAGAAAAAAAAAAAGCAAAACGTCGCATATACGCTACAGTTGGACCTCTCAGGAGAAGAAAACAAAAAAGAAAGAGGGGCGAAAAATTTGAAATTCTCCATCTTGCGACATTAATTCGCATAGTTAGAAGCAAAAGAACTGCTAGAAATTAAAAGAAAAAAAGAGCCAAAAATGATGAACGAGAACGACGTCATGGACTTCTTAAGAGATTCTGAAGATTTCACGAATCAAGCTTTTTTCGAGGCGGTCGGCGAAGCGGGTGCCCTAACAGCGGCTACTGTGGCCGGCTACCCAACGGCTGCCGTAACGGGTATGGCGGGCCGCGACTCAGCGACTGAAGGCACGGGTCCGGAGGCCATCTCTTTTGGAGAGGTAACTTCCATTTGTTGCACTTATTTAATTTAAGTTATTTAATTTCATCTGCTTTAATAGTTGAGAAATAGTTGTTTTTATTTGATAATGTATAAGTAATTTGATTTGAATAATTAACAATAACAACAACAATGCGATTTGTTTAGGATTCGTGGTCGTACAAGAGACCGAAACTGATCAATAATTATAAAGGGCTGAAAATCAACGTTTACAGCCGGCAGTCTATATGTTCTGATATCAAGAACGAGTTGGGCCACGTTGAAGGGGCCTTGACTGCTTTCCAGTGCTCGGTCTTTGGTCCGTTCCTCCAGTTTGATGATAAGGCCAGTGTATCTGCAAAGGCTATGCATGGGGTTCTTTCGCGCGAGGTGACTCGTGTCGGTCAGAAACTGAACGAGATGTGGTTCTATTGGTAACCATTTTACACGATTCTCCGCCCATGAGTATGCTGTGGTGACCGGGCTTGCTTTTGGATCGTCTGCGTTTGACCCGAACTCAGCGCCTCCTCCTACTCCATCGTCAATTTTCAATGAGAAATATAATGGCAAGCGGATCACTATGCAGCAGTTGTGTGATGACTTCAAGGCGGGGCAGTTCCGTTACTCTCAGGATGTGATAGTGAGAGTGGCGAAGATGCTAATGCTGATGTTCTTCATCATTCCTCATGACCACGTGAAGCCTAGGTATATTGATACCTGCTGGTGGGCTTTGCTTGAGGAAGACCAGATGTGAAAGAAATTCCCATGGGGGACTTACTCGTTTCAGTACCTGTTCGACTACTTGCAGACGGCCCAGAACAATAAAATGAAATATCATATCTACGGATTTCACTGGGCGTTTCTAGTATGGTGCTACGAGGCAATCCCTGCATTAGGTCGTGCATGTGGAGCATGTACCTCAGTGAGACGTCCACCACGGCTAGTTCACTGGGAACTGAAGAAGGTCACACTTCAAAATAATTTTTTTTGACGAACAGGTATTATTTGATCCTAATCATTTTTTATCATAGCAAGTGATATTTGAAATTCTTTTTTAAGTCTTAACGATTTCTGATGATTTCTTTATTTTTCATGTTCTATTTTTTAAAATTTAGTTGGAGGTGCATGAGACGCTGGAGCCGTATGAGGAGGAGAGTGCTGTGTTGGACCTCTCGAATTTGGATGTTGTTCAGGGGCCTCGATTTTTGCGACGGCTTAACCCGGCCAGTCGCCGTATGCAAGAGTCGGCACCGCCGTCCACGTCGGCTCTGCAACTTCAAATTGCGGCTGACACTGTGCACCCGAGGAAGCAGGCCCGGACTGTGGGTGATGATAGGTCGGTGCACCCGGAGGAGGTGAGGCCAACAGATGGGTCCGCCTTTATTGAGGATATTCGCGCGTGCGTACGGGCTGAAATGGCTAATTTGTGGAAGAAGAAGTAGCCCATTAGACTTATAAGGTGGGTCTATTTTCCATGTATGAACGATGTGGGACAACTCACAAGTGATATTCTAACATGGTACCAGATCAGGTTCTATTGAGACCGTATGATGACATACCCGTTTATGGGAGTCTGCTTCCCCATGTACCTGTTTATGGGAGTCCACTTCTAGTAGGCTTGGGGCACCCAACCCAGTTGGGCTTGGGCTTCCGAAGGATTCATAAGTGAGAGGGCGTGTTAGAATATCACTTGTGAGTCTTGAGGGAAAAACAGGTGCAGGACCACTAACATGAAGCGCACCATAAGCAGGAAAAGTCCATATGAAGCCCAAGTGGGATTCGACAAAAGCATCGACTTTGGGTTCAGCTGCGCCTCTATCACTAGATATTCTCTCGAAAGGAATTCAACAGTTGATGAAGAGGGGATTTTGGGATGGAACCCCACTTGGGCTTCATATGGGCTTTTCCTGCTTATGGTGCGCTTCATGTTAGTGGGCCCACACCCATTTTTCCCCCAGTTTCTTACATGGTATCAGAGCCGGTTCTATTGGGACCGTGTAATGACGTACCCGTTTATAGGAGTCTACTTCTAGTAGGCTTGGGGCACCCAATCCAATTGGGCTTGGGCTTTTTTCTTACAGCTTCTGTTTGCAAAAAATCTACTTTTCAAACATTAGATTTTTTTTTTCTTGAAGTCCCCCCTGTAACTGTCCTTACAGTCTCCACCAAAGTTGAATCTTTTCTACAAACTTTTTTCCTTCTGCAGCTGCAGCAGACATGCGAGGGCCCTGGGGCAAGAAGCTCGCACGCCATCACAGTCATGGGGCCAAAGGCTTACTCGTTCGGCAGCGATTTTGTGCCACGTATCCCTGTTGACAACCATCTCCACGTGTTTGATCTTGTTGACCGGACTTCTCCGCCACGTGTCGGCATTTTCATGTCCTAGATTGGCGAGACCATTTATGTCTTCGGAGGAAGAGACGAGACTCATAAGAAGCTGAACAAGTTGTACTCGTTCGACGTGTGTACCAACACGTGGGCCCTGTTTCCCCCGGCCCGGCCCACCGGAGCTACCACTCGATGGCGGTTGACGAGCGGAGAGTGTACATTTTTGGAGGTTGTGGTGATTCGGGAAGACTGAACGATTTGTGGGCTTTTGATGTGGTTGATAAGGAATGGGTCGAGTTTTCACTATTGGGGGAGAGTGTGAAGCCGAGGGGCGGGCCCAGGCTAGCTTCGGTGCTCGAGAAAATATGGGTTATGTATGGTTTTACAGGGATGGAAGTTGACGACGTTCATTATTTTGATCTAAAAGAAGGAAAATGGGTTCAAGTGGAGATGAATGGAGAAAAACCGAGCCCGAGAAGCGTGTTCTCGCCTCTTGTGATCGGGAAATACATCTTTGTGTATGGTGGGGAGACTGATCCGAGCGATTTGGGCCATATGGGGCAGGGAAATGTTATGGGCTTCCTTAATTTTAACTTTAATTAGTTGATATATTCATGGAACATCAGAAATTGAGAGCGTGAATTAGGGGTGTTCACCATCTGGTTTTAACCGAAAAAACCCGTCAATCTGGACCACAGATCGGTTAAATAGTCAGTTAAAAAATCCTTAAAAAATCTAGTAGTTAATTTTTTTAAAAATCTGGAATAACCGGTCCGGTTAACGGTTTACTAGCGACAAACTGTCGGTTTAACCAGACCGGACCTGTAAATAATAAAAAACTATAACAAATATAAAACATTCACTCATTCACTATGGCCGACAAATACAATACATTCACTTTCACTTTTTGGCCTTTTGTTGACTTAATAATTTTGTAAGACACTATAACTTTTCACTTTTTCCCACCTTCATTTTTTCATTTTTAGATTTGTGCACCTTCAATTTTTCCCACATTCGTTTTTTTATGCTTATGGGACGAATTGTGTATTTTTTATTTCATTATTATTGTTTTTCTTAATTTTTAGGCACAAATAATCTCTTTTGGGCCCAAAATTGAAAAATAAAAAAAAAGCTCAAAATGAAAAAAAAATAAAAATTGAACGCCAAAAACATAGATTTGGATTTAACTGATCGTCCAATACGGTCCGAATTGTGGCCAGTTAAAAAATAAAACCGTTCCGGTTATGGACAAGAAAAAAAATTAATGGTTAGGTCCGATTTGTTCATAGTTTGGGCTAAAACCGGATCAATCCGGACCGTGAACACCCGTAGCGTGAATTGAAGAAATAGAGAGGAATGAGATATAATTAGGGGAGAGAGAGAGAGTAGCAGATAGGAGATAGAAAGAGAGGGAGGAAATTTGTGTAACTGCATAACTTGTTCTCTAGTGGGGAACAATTCTCAATTTAATGATGGTTTATATGGGCCACAAAAACCCTAATACGTAATAATACTAACTGAGCTAAACAGATGTCCACGGAGACATAAACAAAAAAAATACAAATAACATAAATAGGCTACTTAAATAATTAATTCCTCTGCCCAGTTTGAGTCTGAGCCCAAATTAACGAGATCTACCTTATCTTTATCTTCCATCGGCCTTTTGCCTTCTTTTCACAAACTAGACCCTAAATCAACAGTTCCACCGACGATCTCCTTTCTCGCACTTTCATCATTTCTCATCTCCGACCCCTCACCATCCAAAAGTTCAAGCCTTTATCCATGAGCCACAACATTACCCCCTCCAAAAGATGATCCTTGTCCCTAAGGATCAAAAGAGGGAAATTTCTTCTGAATAAACTCAGATCTTCCCAGGTGGCGAGCTCATCGGAACCGTTCTCCCACCGAACCAGTACCTGGTCCACGTCAAGGCCACTCCTCCGAACGTTGCGGTATGATAAGACACAAGATGGCCGAACCTAAAATAATCCATCGTCATCTGTAAGTGGCAACGAGGACAACATGCAGTTTCTCGGCGAAACTCTACCTTTCAACAATGACACATAGAACACGAGATGTACCTCTAGTAAATCCAGTCGATAAGCTACCCTCTAATACGTTCCAAAACTTGTAAGGACCAAAGTATTTAGATGTAAGCTTCAAATTGTTTCGGATAGCAACTGTGTTTTGTCGAAAAGTTTCAAGCTTTAAGAACACTTGGTCACCAATCTTGAATTCCTGCTCTTGTCGATGATTGTATGCATATACTTTCATTCTATTTTGAGCTGTAATCAAATTTTCTTTCATGCATTTCATGGTTTCTTGCATGTTTTGCATCATTTTGCCTGCATCTGTATCATTAGAGTACAAATAGGGTCCAAGTGACATGATTGGGGACGGGTAGTCTTATAGAGCCTCAAAAGGGGTAGTCTTCAAACCGGTATAGTAATTAGTATTATACCAAAACTCTGCCAAAGGTAACCACTTAATCCATTGTTTGGGATTTTGATGCACCATGCACCTTAGATAGGTCTTCAAGCACTTGTTCAACCTTTCAGTCTGCCAGTCAGACTGAGGATGATAAGATGATGTTATGTCTAAGCTCACCCCAATAAGTTAAGCAATTCCTTCCGGAAAGAGCTTGTAAAGACCTTATCCCTCTTAGTGACTATGTATGTTGGATAACCATGTAATTTGTGTATAGTGTCAAGGAACACTTGTTCCACTATCTGGGCTGTAAATGGGTGGGATAGTGCTATAAAATGAGAATATTTGGTGAACATGTCAATCACCACTAGTATCACATTCTTACCCCTAGATTTTGGCAACCCCTCTATAAAATCCATGGATATGTAGATCCAAGCTTAATCTGGTACAGGTAAGTGCTGTAACAACCCAGGATATGAGCCATTATCTGATTTGTTCATGATGCATGTGTCACACCCCTTCACCTAGTTCTCCACTTCTTTTTTCATTTTATGCCAGTAAAATTTCCTTTTAGCCTCATGTAAGTGCCTTAATCCCCGAATGCCCTCCAATTGTTAAGTCATGTACCATAGTAAGAATAAGGTCCCTAAGTTGTTGGTCTTCACCAATGCACTATCTGCCTTCGTGCCTAACAATCCCTCCTTCAATCTTGAATTCTGGGTAGGTAGTAGGATCAATTGAATTTGCCTCTAATATCTTTCCAAAAAAGGCATATTGTTGTGTACAAATTGTTATTTTTACCGAGTATCGAATTGAAAGATTCGTTTCCCGGGTCGATCTCACGAGGAAGGAGGTTCGGAATTCAGTTTTGGTATTGATCACAAATAAAAAGAAAATAAATAAAATTCCTAAACACTCTAAATCAAATATTGGTTTGGATTTAAATTAACAACTACTAGAATTTAAATAAAGCAAATTGAAATAGCAAAATTATCACAAAGAACTAGCATGATTTAAGGAGCTAGGGAGTCGGGGATATCCATTTTGTTTCTAAATGTAATTAATCGGCAAGTGATTGTTCGGTTAAGTGATTTGAATAACCTATCGTTCGAGTTCTCATTCTCAATAACTTATCGTAACAAGAGAACAAGCTTGAACGGCAAATTAACAACTCAATTAACGCCTAGGCAATATAGTTACGAACAAGCCTAGTTCATACGAGCCTATTTCGGCCGACTCCTCCCCTTTCGGTTCTAAGAGTCGATTAAATTAGACTAGGAGTTGGTTAATCAACTAGCCTTTTTAAAGTCTTCAAAAATCATGCACACATTAAACGATTTCAATTAAAATAATTGGACGTTGAAGTCTCACCCTTCAACAATTCGCAAAATTCGAGAACAATGATCGAAAAAACCCTCGTAAAATATTAATTCGCACAAATTGAACAATCTCAAGCCCGACAATCACAAATGAAATCAAAACATCATCCCCTATTCCCTAGCGGATTAAATTAGCCGCTCATCATTGATTCGACATCAAAATTCATATTAATCCAAGCCATCATAATCATAGGTTAAACAAAAAGAAAGCTTACGATTAATATCCAACGTCGATAACGAGAGCAACCAAATCTAGAAATATGAACCTTGGAGTTTTTCACTCTCAAAATCCAATAGAAAGAAGAAAACTAAGAGAAAAGTTCCATTTTGAAGGGAGAAGAACGAGAGAAAATAAAAACCTAGGTGTTTAGCGTATCCCTCTCAATTTCACAAAATCAGATTTAAAAAATTTGCTAACGCGCAACTCGCGGCCGCTAGAGGGCCCACGGGCCGAGGTGAAGGCGAGCTCCGCGGCTGCGAGTTTTCTCGTCTGAAGTTGGGTGTGGGACTTGCTTTGCTCGCCGCGGCCGCGGCCACGAAACCTGGGCGTCGACATGAAGAAGTTGCAGGCGCCGCGGCATGACCGACTTCCGCGGTGCGGAGAGGAGCTGTAGCACGCCGTGAAGCTGTGCAGCGACGCGGAAGAGGGATCTGTCGCGGCGTGATGAGGATGGCTACCGCGGCGCGGAGCAGAGTGGTGGCGCACCGTGAGGGTTCTCCGCAGCGTGAAGGGTGGCCGAAACTGTGTCTTGCTTGCCTGTGGCGGAGCTGCACGACGTGAAAGGCACTGTGGCGAGGCGTGGGAGGCTTATGCAGCGGCGTGAGAACATGAGGAGGCTCGCGGCGTGGAAGAAGAGCAGCGCACACCGAGGCTTCTTTTCATGGCATGGAGGAGTGCAACGACGGTTGTCTCACGATGTGGTGCAGATGAAGAATGTGCTCTCCGTACAGGCGTGGGGAACCGGCTCGACGGCCCGGGGCAGCATGTTCGACTTCATGTCTCGGACCCGTTTGAACTCATCTGACTTCATAATTGAGTTTTGATTTTCCTTGCTCGTTGCCAACACATTGTTCTACAAAGCTATGCTCGCGAAATCATTTTTGCTTTTTTAATTGAAGTCGATTGAAGCACCTAACCTGCACACCACTAAAGACGAGAAAAATGCAGAAAACAAAGAAAATAACGAAAAAACACATAAAGACTCTAAATAGATGAAACCACAGGACGAAAAACAAAACGGACCAAAACTAAAAGAAAAAAACATAAAATGGGGGAAAAAGAAAACAAAAATAATCACGAAAAACGCAACAAAAATGGGACAAACAACTCCCCCACACTAAAACCTTTGTTCGTCCCGAACAAAAAGAAAAGAAAACAAGATACGAGCATGGGTATGGTTTTATATAAGAAGAGTCTCAAAATGCCCAATTCAACTGAGTCGAATTCCAACGAACGTACGACCATATGCCTCAAATATCAACTTGGACTCAAAATGGCAAACTCTCAAACGCATAGAATGTAATATAAACCTCACTCATTTTCTTGCACGAATATATGATAGGCACGCTCAAAATTGGTCGATATTCAAGTTTCAACATATGCTTGCCAATCGTCTAAATTACTCAGAAACAATCACAGTTCAAGATTTGCGAATCAAGAGGACTTCACGGGTTGTAATATGGGCTAAGGAAAAGGTATGGATATATATAAACAAGAAGCTCAGATAAACAATCAAAGTTCTCGAGTAATAGACTACTCGAATATCTGCTACTCATCAAAATCAACAAGGCAAAACA